TGTAAATTTTTCCCTATTAATTTAGTCATTCATTTCCAAAAGGAATGTCAAAAGAAAAGAATTTACAGCCAAACAGATTGCAGGGAATTGATTTTCTACAATTCTCTGTAGACTTGTTTAGCAGAGCACACTACATGGCCCTACTTAAACAGATTTTCCTTTTATTGTAGACTTCAGAGTGGATACTGGGTGGGCATTGAACTTAGGTCTACTTCACTTTCTTAACAAGACCACAGTCTGTCTGCAATGAGAGTAATCCTGTGATCTCTCTGTACCGGAGTATACTCCAAGCCTACTGTGTGTAGGTCTCATTTGTGCAAACAGGACCACCTGACTACTAGTATACGTGTGGTCTTCTTGACTATATGGCACATAAAGTCAATTTTAACTAGACAGTGACCACCTGTAACAAAATGAGCACGCAAGAACAGAAAGCCTGTTACTCACCCAGATCTATACTGCTTGTGATCATACAGTCAGTGTTGGACCCTTTGTCTGGAAGTAGTGACGAAAGGAGCTCAGGTGCATCCATTCTACTGAGTACAAAGTGACACAGAGAAGCATGAGCTCGCCTCAGTGCCAGTCTACACTTGGCAGTCATTCATTTAATTAACCTACGTCTATTTGCTTAACTTTTTTATCAGAAGGAATTAAATACCAGGGAACCTTTAGCATTTCAAACTGAGTGGCCTGAGACATTTCAGAACTGAATTAATAATCCTTACTTTAAAATTGGCCCACATACTGAGCTCATTTTCCTTCATGGTGAATATATTTATCGATGGAGACGTTTATTCAGTCTCTGTACAAAAGTCAATGTCTCCAAGCCCTCACAAGCGCCAAAGATGGAGCCTTGAGCTTTACTCCCGTCCCTCTCACCACATTTCCCACTAAGCCTTTCATGCGATGGACTTCAGAGGCTCATGTGAAATCATGGCTTTCCTCAGATGCCTTCCCATCACATCATCAGCCCATTCGCATGTGGGGTCACGCCTCTAATGTGCACAAGCACACTGTAAGACGGCACAACCGCAAGCCTAACTCCCTAAGGTGCTCAACTCTACTTTGGAAAATTAAGGAAAGAACCGCTTTGTTCTTGTCCTTCATTGAATTAGATAATGGCCCCAACTAAAAACTTCATTGCTTACATTTCATAATACTCTCTCTCCCCAGAGGGTGAAGGCAGAGATCTTCATGATTAGGAATAGACCAGCCGTGGTACAGTGGCCTGTAGAACAGAAAAAAAAAATGCCTCTAGCTGTGTATGTGTGTGTGTGTGTAGGGGTGATGTAAATACAGTACACATACGTGAAAATAAAAATTAAAAAGCTTTAAATTTTCAGAGTATTAATAAGATATTGAAAATTTTTAAATGAGGAGAAAACCGAATAAATCACTGTTATTCGAGAAATGCTGTTACTGTGTGCCATTTTCCTGTTTTAGTGTATTGACTTCTGTCCTTAGTCATTTATTCTTTAAGATGATGAACTCACTATTTTTACACATTTAAGAAAGCAGCAAAAACAACGTAGCCATAGGCACATTGCTCATTGCCAAGGTGACACAGACTCCACAGCTTTGTTATGGCATTTAATGAGCCCTTAGTGGTCACTCATGGGAATGATGGGGTTTTGTCTTCTGTGTGTACAATGTGTTCTGAACTTACAATAAAGCCAGGGTAACATTCTCTCCTAGCCATCAGCGGCTACTGACTCTTGGAAACAGAGCAAAGCCTGTTGGTCCCATCTATCACCCCTCCCGCATCCTATCAGTATTCTTCCTTTGACACATGAGCTAGGGGTTGAACTTTCCTTTGATTTGTCCATTCTGATGGACTCATTTCAAGTCAACCTAAACATGAGATCCACAGAGAGTTTAAAAGCTTTCTACAGAGTTTTTCCCCAACAAAGAGACTAGATTCCTAATGTGTTGGAAGTCCATGATCCACACAGTCTTCATGGTCCACAACTCCTAACCTACCAGCACTGCCATCATGGGCTCAAGCTGGTCTTTGTGTCCTTCATTCATATTTACATGGTTTCATTAACCATGTGGCCATATCAAAAAGCTCACTACAAATAATCACGCAAGAATCACCTGATCTAACACTCTTCTGTGTAATTGCTACCCAGAACAATACCTCTATTCTTAATTAACCTCATTGTTGCATGCATGCCCAGATCAGTCAGTGTAATAATGTTTTCTATTAAGCCCATTTTCACAATTGGGTCAAAGTATCTTCTAAATAATTCTAAGTCACACTTTAAAACTTCTTTATGTGTGAATGGCTTTTGTAAAAAATCAAGAAAATGATTTCAACTGTCACTATTCACAGGGCCCTCCATACACATAGCACATAGACACACCCACAGACCTGACCGGAGAGACTGGCTCCACACAGCTGTGTTCTTTCAGGGATACAGAGAGAGAAGGACATTGGCAAGAATGAGGGCTCATTTGCAGTGGTTTTGTATTCAAACCTTCATTAGTCAGTCACTTAAACAATGTGGGATGTCTTTGATTTGATTTCTCTTGTATAAACAAACAGTATCAGCCATGCCACAGACACAGATTCTGTTGTTGGTCTCCTACCTGGTGCAGAACAGTGTTTTCAGTACAGAGAAATGTCTGCTTGACTTGCAACATACTCTTATACTTGAAAAGGGCTTATTTCTATTCATTGTTATCTATTTGGTTACTGGCTCCTTCCTTGAACTACCTGTAGTATTAGCTTGAAAATGCATTTTTAACGAAAGGAAAAATGAAATCTATATAATTTTTTATATATATTTATATAAATTTATAATTTATAATTTCCTGATCTCTGTTTACACTGTAACTTCAAGGGGTGGGTGTGTTTCTTCTATGGTGGACCTCAGCTCCAGACATGTACCCATTTGTCTTTCAGATGACAGAGAGAGTCCCGATAAAGCCAGGAAGAACACTGGTCTCTTTTTATTGCTCCTTATTTAGTTATTAACTCACTAATTCACCATTGGCAACTTTTAAGTAGTATGGCTCACAGAAAAAGCAAGAGACTCGCATTGGGTAATTGCCCTTGCTATGCTCAGTTATCAGCTTTTTCTCATACGTGTGTCTCACTATCACACTGCTCAGCTTTTCATACGTGTGTCTGACAGTGGAGTGCCTCCTGTCCATTTCACTCTAGCTACCGGCCTGCACATGTATGCTAATGATAATGACAAAGAACAATATTATGATATAAATATCATATTTGAATACATCTTTAATAAATGCATAATTTACAATAAGAATTTTTGTTTAATTCTTACCTTGGCCTCCAGGTGTGAATAAGGAACTTGCCTTCCATTCTCGTACACTAAGAGGCAAAGAACAGAAGCCATGACAAAAGAAAATGCAAGTTTTCCTCTCAACCGAGCATTGCTTTCTAGCTTTTGTTATCAATCATTGTTTAACAATCATTAATTGAGAGTTATTTAATTTTCTATAGAAAAAAATGAAGAATTTTGATCTTCCCTTTAGCCTAGACGTAGAAAACTTCTATAATTTATATTGTTGGTGTCATCATAGCCAAAGTGGTGGTAGGTATGTAAGCACATACTGGCTTCAAAAATCTACTAATGGTATATTTTTGCTTCATCATACATTTTAAATTTTGATATACATTATAACATCAGCCACAGAGGTGAGAGTAGTGACTTTCTCTTTGGATTTTGCTAATTTCATTGTATATTAACAATTCTCCAAACTTAACACATAGTTTTATGATTGGACAATGCCCAACTATACTCATTGTTTTTGTTTATATATATGTACATATTCATACCCACATTGATGCATCATGAAAACATATAAATCCAAAGATCACTAAGAACTACATTGTATATTCCTACTATCTAGATATGTGACCATGTCAAACATAGACAATGGGCTATGGAACCTTGGTAACGGACCTCAGAACGTATAAATGCATTCATCATACTAACTCACGTTTTATCAGCAGTCAACATCGATTCAAGCTTGACCATCTGTCTCACTGATTTAAATCTTGTCTATTCATTAATGCGCTGATATGTCAGAAATAAATGTTAAGTTCCATGACTCAGAAATGTCAAGAATATACTTGATATTCCTAGTCGGTATTGAGAACAGTCTTATATTAATAGTAATTCATTCAGGTATTCATGAATGTATAATCAATAGAAGACTTAATATCCATCCCTGATCAATCAGTGGGATACAGTTGGTAATCACTAATCATGTACTTTTAAACAACGTATTTCAAGTTCTTTTGGGGGGAGGGTGGTTTCAAGACAGGGTTTTTCTGTGTAGGTCTATCTGTCTTGGAATTGGCTTTATGGACCAGGTTGGCTTTGAGTTCGAGAGATCCACTGGCACTGCCTTTGGAATGTTGAATTAAAGGCATGTGCCACTATGCTTGGATTTTCTTAAGCAAATTATTCAAAGCAAGCTAACCCTGGAGGATCACTCCTCAGTGCAGTGCAGACAGTGCCTCCAGCCATGGAAGATGCTCCAATCACACAGTATGTCCATTCTTGGGACTACTGAGCAGAGAAAAATCACAAAAATAATTGGGCTTTTTTTTTAACTTTCCTAGTAATAACCTATACTTTTCACCTCCCATTGGCCATTTTGACAACCATTTCAGGAATACATTTAATCTTATCTCTGAAAAAGATGAAATTTTACACTTGCTCTGAATGTGGGCATTGTCTGTAATTTATACTATTAACATCATCATGAGCAAAAAAAAAAAAAAACCCACATTTTTTAAAGGTGGCATCATGTGTTCTGTACATACTGATCTATTTCTTGGATCTCATATTTGAGAATTAGTCAAAACTTTTTATTTCTACTTATTTATGAGCCTGATTTATCCTCACATTGACACAATTATAAAAAACAGAATGGAATTTATAACATCAGAGAAAATGAATATATTCTACAGTCCTAAAGGAGCACTTGAAATGAAGGGAATAGATTGTATTTCTTCTTTAGCAGATCTCAGAGTTCCAGAAAAGTACTGATCCATGTGACTCACATGCCACCAGGGATCATCATCAATCATGATCGCTTCTTTCTTTTTCTAATCACTACTCCTTTATTGTTTGTTTGTTAGTTTAACATAATAATATTAATAATAATAATAATAATAATAATAATAATTTGGGTATCTATTTTCCAAATAACCCTACAAATTCTTTCTTATTCCCAATCCCTGTGGAATTGTTCTAACCTTAATTACTTATCCTCTGTGTTTCATAAATAATTGACAACTTCCATTCACTTCTGATGCTCTCATTGGTATGAACTGGCCATCCTTGGTGCCATGCTATATTTTTCAGTCACATATTGAGTTCTGCTAAGCAAACCACCAAGCCTGAAGAAAGAATCCTGGCCACTACTCACAGCACTTTGCCCAGCCTCACCGATGATGTCAGCAGAGCTCTCAGCCATAGAGGTATCCTCAAGTCAGCAAAGTCATAAAGAATGCAAAGCAGAAGAGATAAAGACAAAATTAAGACATCGCTATTAACCTCCGACCTTCCCCTACTCAACCTTAGGTAATCATTTATAAGAGAAGAATATCTATTTAACTGACTCTTAAATAAATAATGGCAAGCCTAACAAGGGTGTGGGTATTCATAAAGTTATGCTTTATATTGTAACTTGAACCATTTGCTCAAGAACATGTGTAAGATTACTATTTGATCTAAAAAGTATTTCTTATTCATTGTGTATTTCATTCATTGTGTATTCATTGTGTATTTCTTATTCATTGTGTATTTTTATAACCGGACCACACTTATTCACTTTTATTTGTATATTTATTGATTCTTAGACTGATCTGATTATAAAAACATCAAGAAATGCATGTACATGAGGATAGAAGTCACCCCACCTCTACTGTTGTCACCCCCACCTCCGCTGTTGACAACAGGACTTTGTGATGAACCTCTGAGGCACAGTCACTATTTGTAACTCATAGATGCCATCGTGGTCATCATCAATCCAAGACTGGTCCTATTTTCCTCCATCCATTTCTCCATGGGGAACATACATGCGTCTCCTTCAATAACTAACCTCATGTGAACACTAAGCATACTCTGATACACTATTTTATACGAACTCCATGGATGTTCTTTTTACATTCGACCTAGTGTGAGTGTATTTCACATCTTAGAAACACAGTGACTAACCTTCCGAAAACCATCAAAGCAATGACAAGAATGTTGACCAGATCTCACACCATCCCAAGCAAACGATGAGCAGGCAGCCACTGAAGACCAGATCCCCCTGGAAGAGTTTATTCTAAGGAACACAGAGAGAAGCAGAGGACAAAACAATGACAATGCTGCCCTCAATCTTTGTGTAACCATGTACCTTCTGTGTTGAATCTTGGCGTTTCAGACGTATAGTCATCATGGATGGTTCAAATGCCACTAGCCAAATGATTCAAATGATGATGATGTCATCATTAAGCCAAGATTACTTCTCCTTTCCTCTAATTATTTCTACTTTGCCTATTAATTACTTAATTATAAGTTCTATAATTAGTAACCCCCACTCACACACAAAAAAATAAGTCTAGGAGTCCAATTAATCCTAATCTGTACATAGATTCTCTCTAATATATCCAGTATATCAAAATTATACACTAGTTATCATATTTGCATTAAGAATGAACAATTTTATGTAGTCCCCATATCTGCCAATGGTATTCAGATAGCCATTGCTAACACTATATTAAACCATCACTAATTACAATGTACCCTGTTTAAGAACTATATTAAATCACTCAAACCAAAACACTGAGATTGTTGTAACTCACACTGATCTTGTTCTCCTCCACAGGGTATAAATGGAGCCCTTGACCCTTGGTGGATCCTCTAATTACATGGTTCATCCTGAGCGGAGGGGAGAGGAGAGGCAGTTAGGATAATGAAATACTTATAGAGAGGGCAGCAGAGGTGAGAACATTGGAATTCATTCCTGTCCCGGACTCTGTAATAAGGTGCGAGCCAGTGCTGCTGGCCATGGACAAACGTGCCAGTCACTCAATAGTATCCACTCTGAGAAGTATGCACAAACAGAGTTTGGGGCTTTTTGTTAAAATGCCTCATTTCTCACTTTGTCCTTTATGATTATCTGTCATCTGAACCAATCGTGCAAGTCACCATAATTTTAAAATATTTAAACTATTGTCTTGTAAAATGAGTATCGCTCAACTTCTAGCTAGCTTAGAAAATAGATATTATCTGTTACTGACACTATGTCCACTGAACACAAAAACAGTTGTATGCTACTTCCTTCTCTTTGGATTATGCATTTTCAATGTACTAAGGTGTTTTTTGTTTGTTTGCTTGCTTTTGGCCTCGACTCTTGTGTTATAACTGAATAATGTTTCACCCACTTATCTTCACTGCTTTCTGTATTTATTGGATATTTAAGGAGTTAAAAGAATGATCTGAAAGAGATGAACACAAAGAGCTTACGGGCTGCAGGATGGACCCAGAGACAGGCATGTGTCTGTCCTGGACTCATACTACCTGCGTTCATCTCAATCCAGCCAGACTCTAATTACCTCTCTACTCACTCCCATTTGGGTTCTTGACTTAATCATTAACTCACTAGTAAAAATGGAAGCTTTCTTATGCCCCCAAACACTGAGCAGACTAAAAGTCATTCTGAGTTCAACTCACTGAGGAGCCTGAGTTTATGAAGAAAGGCCAATTGAATGCCCTCATTGGTGATACTTGGCTTAATGCAACCATAGTTAAAACATCATTTTTATTGAGTGTATTGCTTTGTGTTTATGAGTGTACAGTCCAAGGACACAGGTATAGAGGTCAGAGTTGAACATCTGGGAATCTGATCTCTCTTTCCACCATGTGGGTACTGGGGCACAAACTCAGGTCAACAGATTTTGCAGCAAGTGCCTTCATCCCCTGAACCATCTCACTAGCCCCATGTTAGATACTTCTCAACTATGAAGTAGGTAACGTTCAACACACCACATAAAACACAAGGACATGAACTCACATTGTGCCAGGAACAATGCAGGAATCACCTCAGGAGCACCCGTTCTGAGGAGTAAAGGGGAGAGCACAAGATAAAAAATGGCACTCTCTTTCAAGGATCTTTGCTTATCTACTTATCTTTCATGCTGGACCTTAGAGTTTCAGACAGATATTATTCATCATCTTTCTCAAACCTTGGTAACTGTCATCATTGGTCCAGGAAAGGATTGTTCTCACCTCCTCATCAACACTGTTTACTGAATAAGCCAATAGTTCACTAGCAAGGCCCGCAATACACAGACATTCCACAGGAACACAGCTCTCTGACATGTATATGCTAATATCAACATGTACAATACCCTAATAACCATGCTCAGACATCATACATGCTTGGTCTACAAGTCCATCCTCATCCCAAATGACAACGTGAAAGTGCATCTATAGGATGAATTGTAAAAATAAAGTGATGTTTACCAAAACATGGACAAGACCTATGGATGCCACACAAACTTAGCTAGATTCACTTAATAAACACAGGATTCTGCTGTCAGCTCACACAAACCCACTGGAAGGAAGCAAACAAAAAGATGACATGATTTTTAAAAGCAGACAACAACCACAGTTTTCTACTCAGATGTAGAGAGTTATATATCTACTTTGTAACTAAGTAATATAATTTATGTCTTAATAAAACAAGCAAACTTAATTATGTCCAAAGACTCAGGGCAAAAACTGTGGCTGTAAGGTGTACTGCATATATTTTCTTAATGAAAGAAGAAAAGAGTGAGGAAGGCTCCATGTAAAAGGAGACTCAGGTACTCTCATCGTGCATAAATATAGGGTGGTAAGGACTTTGCGGCAAATGGCTTGGTCCACGTGGACATGCACGGCTCTTGGACAGAAGTGTATTTTCCTTGTAGTTTACACAGTAGCAGATGTGGTGGTTCATAAGAACTTTGTTTTGATTTTGAGCATCATGAACTGTTTGCAGAATGTGGGCTGTAAAAGTGTCTCTCAGGAGTTTATGTTATGCTTTGTCAACTTTATGACTGATATTCTAAGCAGGTTAAGGCAATATGTGTCTGTGATTTGAAATTTAGAAGAGCCTAATGATCAGTAGTGTATTAGAATATTAATACAAAAACATAAGTATAAGGATGAAATGTGGATATAAATAATAAATTTGGTGTTTGGGAGTTGGATGTCTTATTTTGGGAAATGTCCAAATAAAAATATTGTCTTTTTATGCAAATGACTAGTTTTACACTGCTATTATGATGGGATACTTTACAAGCAGTGGCTGAAAACACTATGGAAAATGGGATTTATCCACTAAAAAGACTGGATGGAACAGTATTATATTACTTTCAACAACAACAAAAAAAACAGATATAAATATACTAATGTGAATAAATGACAGACAGAAAAATGAGAACAGGATAGACCCACTCACATGGGAATGTTGAAAACATATAACTGAAATAGTGTTACTGGTGACCACATTTTGGCAATTTCTAGGGGAGGGTGGATAAAAAAGTTTACTTGAGTATTTGTAAAACTGCATTGAGAAGGGTAGAAAAACATGGTGTGGCCCCGCAATTGGGATGAGTGATTTTCTAAAACAGAAAAGAGAAATAAATACAAGAATATGGATGAAAATGTGAGAGCCAAAGAAAAGAAAACTAGGTATTAACATTAGATGGCTTGTAATTTACTAGAAAAAAAAAAAACAAATCTAACAGACATGGTAACATTAATAAGCAATAGAAAAGAATACAAAGGTATGTGAAAGTTGGATTAGAGCCTTTGTTTTCCAATGTAAAAATTATAATTATGTTATTAATGCTATAATTGCTGAATAGGAATGAAGACATAATGTTACTATGAGATCTTTCCCAACACCTGTGCAAAGTGTGAGAAGGAATTGGGTATCCTCGGGGTATTGAAGTGGCATCAGAGAAAAGTCTTAATGACTGAAATGTCTCTGAAAACAGCAGTAAGTCAGTCAGGTTTTCTGAATAATAAAGCAGAAAGAGGGAAGGAAAAATTGAGAAGACATGCTATGCACAGCCAAAACATACAAAACCATGACAGAAACAGGCAGGGGTTCACTATGAGGAAAAGTGTGTATGTAACCAAATGAGTGAAGTTATGTTAACTTTACACTGATTGACAACATGGAAGCCAAAATTCTGCAGGGCATCTGAAAGACTGCCATCCAAAATCCACAGGTATAAGAAGGTTGGCATTGTGTAAAACAGATGAGAGGCCAAAAACAAAAAAATAAACGAACAAAAAAGCAAAAAAGATCTCACAGGTCCAAAATTACATGAAATTTGTTAAGGAGATCAATGGAAAACTTAGAATTACAAGGCAGACACGAGAGGTATAGCATACACACCATAGGTCACCAGTTCATTGGCAGTCAGCCCATATGGGATCTGGACTCACATCATGGCATCCTGGGAAATCTCCATCTTAGCACACTTCCGCCAAAGCATCAGTCACCACTCTGTTGGGTATAAGGTAGAGAAGGGAAGAACTATTGAGACTTCCTTTTCCTGGTGACACAGACTGTGTATCATGAAAGGGGTTAGGGAGTCCTTCAGAGAAGCTTTCTCTCTAAAGTAGTGTGTATTCTGGCATGATATAGCTGAAGTCAACCTGAGGCTGACACAATGAGAGGCAGACCACACACAGTCTGCC